ACTCATCTCAGCCTCCCAAAGGCGCGGGATTACAGGCTGAGCCACCGAGCCCGGCGGAAGTATACATATTATGGGATGGGCAGCTCTGACCACAGAGAGGAGCCTTCTGGAGCGTGCTGTAGGAAATTCAGGCCTTTCTAGGTCTCCTACCCCACAGCAATTATTGTTTCAAGAACACTCCTGTGAGAGATTTCTACCTATTTCTGGCAACCAATCCTTGGGCCTGTGTCCTCCGTGAGAACATTCTCAGCTCTCCACTCAAGACCTGTGTGACTCAGGGTAGATTACTCAAGGGCTCTGTGTCTCAGTTTCCTTATCTGTTAAGTGGGGGCAGTAACAGGACATTCATTCCTCAAGCCACAATAGGGATTCAATGACTAAAACCGTGTAACACAGTTAAAATAACCAGGCTGGGCTCGGTGGTTCAGCCTGTAATCTCGCGCTTTGGGAGGCTGAGGTGAGTGGATTGCCCGAGCCCACAGGTTCGAGACCCACCTGGGCAACTTGGCCAGACCTCATCTCTACAATAAATCCAAAAAATTAGCCGGGTATGGTAGCATGCCTGTAGGTCCAGCTCCTTGGAAGGCTGAGGCGGAAGGTTCGCCGGAGCCCAGCGGGTCGAGGCTGCAGTGGCCGCTCCCGGCCACTGCACTCCAGTCTGGGCGACAGAGTGAGACTCCAACTCAAAAAAATAAAATAAAATAACCAGGCCTGGTATAACCAAGTGATTATAGCTGCTATTATTATTGCAACCAATAAATAAGCTGACCAAGAGAGCGAAATGAAGGGACCAGATAATCTGCTGTGTCCCAGACATTTTGGACTCACCGTTCTGTTTGTTCCCCAGAGGTGAGTGACATCAACTCCACTGTCTAACTAAAAACTGAAGCTCAGATAAGCACTGGTCTTGTCCAAAGTCACCCCACTGGTAGATGGGTCGAGCAGAGATTTGAACCCAGCTCCCCAGAATCTGTGTGCACAGAACCCAGGTTAGGTCCCTAAGCTGGGGCAGTTCCGCCCTGCACACCCGAGGGGGTGGGCTGGCCATCGTGCAACCCGTTTTGGCTCTCCTCTGCAGACCCCTCAGAGCAAGCCAGCTCAACATTGCCTCTGATAACTGAAGCCTGCTTAAGAAAAGAACAAACAAGGGTACCTTTTTAGGATGTCAGGAAAATTCTGCAGGGCAGGAGTGGAGGAGGCGGTGGCTCCTGTTTTTATGGCCTTGTGCCTTGGCGGGTGAGCCTGGGTTAGGGTTACCAGGGAGTCAGCATCGTATTTATAGTAGGGACACTCGCCTGTACCAGAAAGGCCGGCCTACACGCCCCATCAGCAGATTGGGGAAGGAAGACACTTCCTTCATACTGCTTGACTTCTAGGCTTGGTGCTTCCTCCCGGGTGCGGGGTCACGCCACCCGACGGTGCCTCAGTTTCTTCATCTGTGAAATGGAGGGCTTGCCATGTCCCTCTCCAGGTCTGGAGACGGGATCTGCAAGTGCTTGGCGGCTGCTAAGCACGGAAGGGGGCCCCAGAGAGTACCGGCTCCACACATCCTGGGTCTGTTGACTGTCTTTTCCTGCCTTTGACCTTGTGATATGGGCCCCCGCCCGTCTTGGCAGAATCTGCAGGAAGAGAATCCAGGCCTCTGTGCTGTCCATTCCTCCCATGCTTGGGAAGGTTTCCAACTTCACAGTCCCTCGCACCAAAGAATAGGCTGTTGAGTTCTCTGCACAATGAATGCAGGTCCGTCGGAGCCCAGGGTTCAAATCCCTGGTCTGCCACTCCCTGGCTCTGTGGCCTTAGGCAAGTCGCTTAACCTCCCTGAGTCTCAGTGGCAGGTGGCCGATTGCAGAAGGTATGGTAAGAACAGCCCTGAGCACTGACTTAACGTGCTGGGCTGCTGGACTGACTCTTTCTCTCCCCTCTTGTATAACCTTCCGCCGACCCCCTTGTCACCCCGTTTGTGTAGACAGAGGTGACTGCCTGGCTGGTGCCTTTTTTGCAGGCGCGTTGGGAGTTGTTTTTTAAATCTTCATCGCCTCCTCAATGCCCTGTGGCTTCTGGGGATATCACCAAGAGTTTCAAGCAGGTGGGTCAGCAGGTCCCTGGGCCTCCCAGAAGCTCCCCAAGTGCTTAACTCTCCTGAAGTCAAGGATGGTTTTCCAAGGGCCAGGCCTGGAGACATTAGTGGGGCCAACCCTTAGCTCACTCAGTTCCTCCTGGTGTCCCAGAAGCCAGAGACAGCCCTCACTTCTTGCCCCCCAGGTCCCATGGTCCCTTGCCAGGGACCAGGGCAGTCTCCACTTCTCCTTCTTGTTCTGTTGCCCCCCACCCTCATCTCCATTTCTCTGTTTCTCCCAGGTGTCTGCCACCCAGTCCATGCCATCCCAGCCCCCGAGGAGGGTGTGCTGTGCTCTGAGTGGGGGTGGGGCACTTCTCTGGCCTGTCCTTCCTCTGGATGCCAGGGCAGACAAGAGCAGGAAGCAGCTCGGGGGGTCGGAGTGGTCCTGGTCTGCAGGGGACTCTGAATGACCTGGTGCTCCCAGGCCCAGGGAAGGGCTGGGCCCACCTGGGATCCTCTGAGGATTTCAGCTGAGCTCTGCACTCTGTGGCCCTCTGGGTGCCTGCCTAGAGGGTGGCAGGGTGTGATCAGCTTCCCCCAAGACCCCGAGGAGCGAGAGGCGTGTCATGTGATGTCAGTGGTTCCCTGGGACTGCAGATGGCAAGCAGCTTGGGTTTTTCTCTCCTTTATGGTTACTGACTGATTCACCCCTTGGGTAATAGGGAGCCAGTGAAGACGCCAAAGCCAGGGAATTTACCTAGATTGCTTCGGTGTGGTGAGTGGAAAGACTGGAGAGAGAATCTGGAAGCCAAGAGGCAAGGGAGGAGGCTGGTGAGATGGTCCTGCAGAGAAAGGGTGAGGCCCACTCAGGAGAGGAGGGTAAAATGGATACTGGCAACACCTGGGTGTGAGGGGCAGGGAGGGTACAGGGAAGACAGGCCTGATACTGTCTCTCCCATGCGGAAGGTCCAAAGGACAGACTGCTCATCTTCAGGGGTCAATGGGGTGACCCTGCAAGGTGTGGAAATATCTCAGGGGTCACTGGTGCATATGGCAGACCTGGCAGGATCCACCTCCTCCCCGCCCCATGCCCTGACCCTGCCCATGGGTCGGCCCCTTCTCTCTGGCCCCCTGTGGTCTCATCTGTAAGACAGAGGTGACACTTGAATCTCAGGGGTGTCACGGACATTCAATGGGATGACACCTGTAAGGTGCTTGTGAACTGTGGTGTGTGGCAGAGATCCAGGTCTCAGGCCTGAAGCTTTTAACGTCACCAC